CAGAGAGAGACATAGTGAGAGAGGGATCACAAGCAAGGGGAGTGGGAGAGGGAGAAGCAGGCTCCCCGCTGAGCAGGGAACCCAATGCCAGGCCCAATCCCAGGATCCTGGGATCATGACCTGAGCTGAAGGCAGAAGCTTAGCAACTGAGCCACCCAGGTGCCCCCCAAATTATTAAAAGTATAAATGTACTGGCACACATTTTCTCTTTCACCTCTGGAACCAGTATGACTTGGCTGGGCACTGGCTGGCTGCCCTACTTATTTTCCTGCAAGGAAGGTCCTGATATTTTGTATCTTTATTTCCTGACTGAATGCTTTCCCTTTAAATTTGTAGCAGAATTTCTCCCCAGAAACAGGCCCAAGTCTGTAAAAAAATAGTATAGCATGCTAAGATGGGAACCATCAGATCTCTCAATAAATGGGTACTTTGTAAAATAAATCTTGCTAAAATGTCACCCGAGAAAGGAAAAAATAAAACTCTTCACAAGAAGCATCCAGAATATGAAAGGTTCAGTGCTTACTGAGAAATAAGTCTCCAGAGAAGGCTTGGCAAAGCTGTCAGAACACAAGAAGAAAGTTTTTTACTCAGTATTTACAGGGGACCAAGTTGGTTCTGAAGTCAGGAGCCTGACTCATATCCTAATACGACAAAGGTAACACAAAGATTTTGTGCTACCTTAAATGCATATAAGCATTAATAATTAATATTAATTAATTATTACTTTATTAATCACTCAACAATTAATAATTGAGTTAATAATTACTCAACAATAATTTTTTTTTCTCTTTTATATTGGTATAGAGGGTTTTTTTTGAAGATTTCATTTATTTGAGAGAGAGAGAGCATGCATGCATGTGCACAGTTGAGTGGGGGGGCAGAAAGAGAGGGAGAAGTAGACCCCCTGCTGAGCAGAGAGCCCAACGTGGGGCCTGATCCCAGGACCCTGAGATCATGACCTGAGCTCAAGGCAGATGCTTAACCAACTGAGCCACCCAGGCGCCCCTAGAGGGGTCTTTGGTTTGTGGGATTATTTTATTTCCCTCCAAAAATGGGAGTTTTCCTTATGTCACCATCCTATATATAGCAGTATTTCTCAACAGAAATTTTCTTTTTTCTTCTTTTTTAAGAGCGGATGGGGGGGCAGGGAAGGGCAGAGAGAGAATCTTAAGCAGGCTCCATGCCCAGCGTGGAGCCCAATGTGGGGCTCTATCGCACAACCCTGAGATCATGACCTGAGCCAAAATCGAGTCCGATGCTTAACAGACTGAGCCACCCAGGCACCCCTCAACAGAAATTTTCTTTTTCTTTTTTTTTTGAAGATTTTATTTATTTGAGAGAGCGAGAATGAGAGAGAGAAGAGCACATGAGAGGGGGGAGGGTCAGAGGGAGAAGCAGACTCCCCGCTGAGCAGGGAGCCTGATGCAGGACTCGATCCCAGGACTCCGGGATCATGACCTGAGCCGAAGGCAGTCACTTAACCAACTGAGCCACCCAGGCGCCTTCAACAGAAATTTTCTATTAAAGTATCCCTAATGTCAAAAGAAAGCAAGCCCTAGGGTGCCTGGCTGGCTCAGTCAGTAGAGCACATGACTTTTGATCTCGCGGTTGTGAATTTGAGCCCCACCTTGCATGCAGAGATTACTTAAAAATAAAATATTAAAAAAAAGAAAGAAAGATGGGACACCTGGAGCGTATGCCTTCGGCTCAGGTCATGATCCCAGGGTCCTGGGATTGAGTCTTGCATCCGTTCCTTGCTCAGCGGGGAGCCTGCTTTTGCCTCTGCCCCTGCTCCCTCTGCTGTGCGCTTTCTCTCTCTGACAAATAAATAAATAAAATCTTTAAAAAAAATAAGAGGAAAAGCCCCTCTCCTGGAGATAACAGCACAAAGCTGTGTCTCCTATTAAATGTATATGGATATTGTATTCTATCTACCCCATAATATCTTGTGCTTTAAGATTTTTTTATTTGAGAGAGAGCATGAGAGAGACAGCACCAGCGGAAAGAGAGGCAGAGGGAGAGGGAGAAGCAGGCTTCCCGCTGAGCGGGGAGCCTGATGTGGGGCTCGATCTCAGGACCCCGGGATCATGACCTGAGCCAAAGGCAGACGCTTAACGACTGAGCCACCCAGGCGCCCCATCTTGTGCTTATTTTGGTATTATTGAAACAGTTAAAAACATAAATATACAAAAAAAATAAATGTATTTCATATAAAAATTTCTCAGGTTTCTTACTACTAAGAAACTGAGCTTCCTTGAAGGTGTACCATGTTTATATACACGGAGTCTTTGTGTAAAGTCTGGCACATTGTCTAATCTCTCTGAAAAGCCCACAAGGGATGAACTTTTATCTTGGTATTTAACCCAGAACTTTTGCTTTCTCATTTATATTCTATTCCATAATACATGTTTATTTTCATAATATTTATATTTTTAAACTATTTGCTATCAAGGAAAATCGACACTGTAGGAAGATGGACCATGTTTTATCTTGCGACATCGGGTCTCCTTAGCATATTTCTGGGGTACCTAGGTTCAGAAGTAGTCTTATTCATTGGCCAAGAAGTTCATGAAACATTGCTTCCTAAACTTTTAGAAACACTTAAAAGGAAAAAAAAAAACCACACTTATAAAGAGAAAAAGCTTGTAATGCATTTTATTTATTTTTTCTTTTTAAAGATTTTATTTATTTGAGAGAGAGAGAGAGGGAGAGAGCATGAGTCAGGGGAGCAATGGAGGGAGAGGGGGAAGAGGGGGAAGCAGACGCCTCCCTGAGCAGGGAGCCGGATGCGGGGCTCCATCGAGGGACCTGTGATCATGACCTGAGCTGAAGGAAGCCGCCCAACGACTGAGCCACCCAGGGGCCCCTGTAATACATTTTAAAAAACAAAGTACAGATGATATGAAAATGTTGGGGTTCAGAGCGAATGGTCAAGAAAGAATTCTTGAGACATCTCTGGTGGAAATAGGTGATTTTATTAAAGCACAGGGACGGGACCCGTGGGCAGAAAGAGCTGTACTTGGGTTGTGAGGGATGGCTGATTATATATTTTCAAGTTGGCAGGGGGCTAGGGGGTGCGTAAGTCTCTAAGGAATTTTGGAAGCAAGGTTTCCAGAACTTGAGGGGGCTAGCTATTGTTAGGAAAGGTCATTTTTTTACTGTCTAATAAAACCTTAGTCATGAGACCCTTCAGATGTGTATCAGTGGGGCCATATGTTTGGAGGGTGATTGTTAACATGTCTTGGAGGGTAGATATAAGGGAAGTTTCTGAAGGAATTTGTATATGTTAAAGAAGACTTACAAGATTCTGGAGGTGTGGGTAATGTTAAGCTAAGATTGCCCCTTTGCCCTTAGCAAAGTAGTAACACCTAGGCAGTTGAGTTCCTAGAGGAAGGTCACTCGACCTGTTTCAAGGACTTGTCAATGGGGTGTAAGTTATAAGGAAATTTAATTTTTTTCTTCTGCCTTTGTTCCCCACATCCAGATACTGGGTGTATGGAGGTAGGGAGGAACTGTCTATATTATCTTCACAATTTTTCTACAAATCTAATCTATTCTAAAATTAAAAGGTTATTATTTTTATTTAAAGATTTATTTTAGTGAGAGATACAGCATGAGCAGGGGGAGGGGCAAAGGGAGTGAATCCTCAAGCAGAACCCCCGCTGAGCCAGGAGCCCCAAGTGGGGCTTGATCCCACGACCCTGAGATCACAACCCAAGCTGAAATTAAGAGTCAGAGGCGCAACCAACTGAGCCACCCAGGCGCCCCTAAAATTAAAAGGTTATTAAAAAAAGAATCTACCTTTAATAACTGAGGGACCAGAATCAGTGCCTCGCTATGATTTATTACCACCAGAACCTGAATGACACCAGGTCTTATACTAGTTTTAATATTCTCACGCCCAATTCTCAAGCTTCAAGTAAGTGTAGTTTTCGGGCTCCAGTCGATTTTCCTATTTTTTTTTTAAAGATTTTATTTATTTATTTGACAGAGAGAGAGAAAGAGCACAAGCAGGGAGGGAGTGGCAGGCAGAGGGAGAGGGAGAAGCAGGCCCCCCGCTGAGCAAGCAGCCCGATGCGGGGCTCGATCCCAGGACTCTGGGATCACGACCTGAGCCGAAGGCAGACGCTTAACCGACTGAGCCACCCAGGCGCCCCGATTTTCCTATTTTTGACAGTTTTCCTACCTCACTCTGTTGGGAATAGTGGGAAAAGCATTAAGTCTTCCCAAGGGTCTGGGCAAGCAGGTGATCAAAAGTGGTTAATAAAGGGGAAGAAAACGTAGAGTGGAAAAAGCCTGAAGAATCCACTCCCAGGTCTGGTATTAACTAGCACAAGAATGTAACTACCCGCAAACGGGTAAAACGGGAATTAAGATTTAACAAGAGGACGCCTGGGTGGCTCAGAGGGTTGGGCGTCTGCCTAAGGCTCAGGTCATGGTCCCGGGGTCCTGGGATCGAGCCCCGCATCGAGCCCCGCATCGGGCTCCCTGCTCCTTGGGAGCCTGCTTCTCCCTCTGCTTCTCTCTCTCCCCCCCACCCCGTCTCTCATGAATAAATAAATAAAATCTTTAAAAAAAAAAAGATTTAACAATAGCTCCTAATCTGGCCACTTCACCAAAACAAAGGAAAAGCATTAACTCCTCAGAAGGTGGCAGCACCTGGGGCCCACGCTGTATTCGCAGCTAGGGGAGGAGTTACTAAAAGAGGGTCCTTGGCCTTTGCTCTCCTTCGGGAACTCACCTCACCCTTGCTCTCGAAGGCTGGGGGGGGTGAGGGGGCGTGGAGAAAAGAATGCAGCTACTTCACTCCCCCAAAGGCGGGGACTCAGACCACAGGCCCCAAAACTAAACTCCCCACACTCACACCCTGACGCCCCCAGACTCCGCGCTGGGAGTGACGCAGCGGGCTGAAACACTGCGCATGCGGGGAGGACGTGCGCGCAGGCGACGGTGCGTACTGCGCATGCGCCCCTCTCTTGAAGGGGGGGCCCCCTTTTTTTTCTCACGGCGGGTGAGAGGCGGCCTCCCTTTCCTGCCCTCTCGCCCCGCCCCCTGCGCGGCGCACCCCCGGGCCGTTGCCATGGCGACCCAGGGGCCAGAGCCGGCCTGCGGCGGCACAACCCGCCCGGTCTCTGAGGACCTGGCGGCGGCGGCGGCGACGACAGTAACAAGTCATGGAACTTTCAAGAAACAACGTCGAGGAGACCAGGAAGCACACGGGCCTCGGGCGTTGCAGGCATTTCTTCTGGCTGGGCGTGGTCTTCGACACGGTGGGCGCGACCGTGCTGTTCACCGGGGTCTTCGCGCACCTGCTCTTCTACGACCTGCTACTCTACCTGGGTTCCATCATCATCTTCTTCAGCCTGCTGTGGTGGGTCTTCTGGTACACCGGCAACATCGAACTGACTGCTGAAGAGTCCTTGAAGAGGCCCTTCCACGTGCCCTCCTCCACCACGGTGGACGCGCTGAGCCACCCTCTCTCTCACCTTCTGCAACATGTCCACCACCTTGACGCGGATCCGGCGGCGCTGCGGTCCCAGGACGTTCCTTCTTAGACCTGCTTCTCCGAGTATGACCGTCACGTCCCGGCTCGAAAACCAGCTGGAGAAGGAAGACCAGGGCAAAGACGGACCGACAGGTGCCCTGGAGAGCGGAGACTTGCAAAACCTGGGCAGCGAGGATCTGGGCCCCAAACCTGAAGCTGTCCGAAGTTCAGAGGGAGTTCGCTCCCCGGGCCCTGATGCTGGGTCTCCGGGCCCCGAGGCTGGGCTGCCAGGGCTTGTGAAAGAATCGTTTTTCACTCCAGACCAGCCTCAGTCCCTAGCCGTCCTCCCCTCCAGGAGCCTGCCTGTAATCCCCTCGGCCTCTACCCGCCAGCCTCTAGCCGTGCGTGTTTCCAGGAGCCAGCCGGCGGGCACTCTTGCCTCTGCAGGCCAGCCTGTTGCCTCCTTGGCTTCTGCCAGTCAGCCTGCGCTCATTGTTTCCTCTGAGAGTCAGCCTGCTGTCCCCTTGTCCTCGTTGACTCAACCTACAGTCCTCCTTGCTTCTCAGAGCCAGACTGCAGTGTCTGTGCTCCCTCAGAGCCAGCCCTTTGTGCCTGTGGCCTCTCAGGACCACTCCTTGGTTTCCGGAGCTTCTCGGGTCCATCCCGTGGTGCCATTGCCTGCACAGAGCAACCTCCAGGTCCTTTGGGCCTCTCAAAGCCACCCCCTGGTGTCTGCGGCCGCACAGAGCCAACTCCAAGTCCCACTAGCCTCACAGAGCCAACTGGAGAATCTTCCTCCTGCCTCTCAGACTCCATCTTCAGGTGCTCAGGCTTCCCAATTGGAGGCCCTGGCCACCCCTGTGTCTCTCATCCAGCTCCCATCCTCCCAGTCTTTTCAGACCCAACCTGTGGCCCTGCGGGTCTCCCTTGCTGTCCAGGACTTTCGGGCCTTCTATCACAGCCAACAGACCCTCCAGAGCATCTCTTCGGTCCAAGAGATTGCTCCCAGCCCGTCCGCGCTTGTCCAGGAGTTTCAGAGGAAGCCACTTGCCCAGGCTTTTGAGACTCCGCCACTAGCGGGCCAGGAGCTAAGTCAGGAACTCCCTGCCACCGCGTCCCCATCCCGAGTCCCAGGCTCCAGCTTCTCAGGCCCAGCAATCAGTGTCTCCTGAGACCACACCCACCCCTGACTCAGAGAAGACAAGTCGCCCTCCCTAGTACAGAACTGGACTCCTGCCATCGGAGTGGCCGCTCAGGCCTCTACCAAGTAAGTGTCTTTGGCAGACTCTTCACCTGCAGTATTTGATTGTTTCCGGTCCGTGTTCTGATCGTTTCCTCGATCTCTTCTGCTGGAAAAAATTGAGTGGAGGTGAAGTGGCCTGTTCCTTCCGGGATTAGATCTTTTCCACTTTGGTAGGTTTTTGAAACCTAGTGCGGTTAAGCTTTTACCTACTCAATCAGAGAGTGAGATCGCTTTATTTAGGCTTTGTAAGGACAGGGTGGTAATTAAGACATTCCATCAGGCACTGTGGGTGGAGTGGGGAAAGGGACTCTGCACTGTTTCTGAAACAAGATGATTTTAGGTGGCACAGAGACACAGCATTAAATAGCAATGAGCCCTTCAGTGGGAAAGTTTTCCCCTCTCAATTCTTTAGCGATCTTTTTTGGTTCTATCAAGGAGAGCGTCCTTAGTGTGTAGTTAGTGATCTCCAACATTTTGGTAGGCAACGACCACACCCAGCTAGGATTTAATACCATGTGTGTTCAAGTTATTTCAATGGATAACTTCTATTTATGCCAAGTAATACTGGTTTTTCTATTTAAAATAGTGATAGTTGCTTTTCAAAATACATTTAAGTGAAAAAACACTTAAACAACTTAAAGGCAAAAAATTAAGTGTGTAGTGAAACTTGAATGATCCTGAAGTTTGGAAACCATTTGGCATTTAGTAAATCCCACAAGCTTTCTACTAAATCGCAAGACCCTTTGTGCTCACCTGTTTAATGAACTCTTTGGTTGAGGCTAACTGAGGACCAATTCCACTTAACTGACCAGCCCCTTGTCAACCAGAAAGGTAGAAAAGGTCATGTGAAGGTCAGAATTGGTGAGCCTGCTTCTCAGTGGGTTAAGTGCTGTTATAATGATATTCAACTGCTGAGTATCCATTTCCTGATCTTTCTCTTTAATCCTATTCCATAAATTACCTACTCTGGAGGGGGAGTATAGGGCAGAGCAATATTTGGAGGTTATGTTAATGCTCCTTTTTACAATGCTACCAACACATTATCCAAGAAGGTTATTTCATATTGGTTGGTTTCATTTCCAGGGTGGGGTACAATTGAATATTTGGTGGAAGTTATTTTTAAGATTTTATTTATTCATTTGCGAGAGAGACAGAGAGAGCACAAGCAGGGGGAGAGGCAGAGGGAGAGGGAGAAGCAGACTCCCCGCCAAGCAGGGAACCCGATGCGGGACTCAATCCCAGGACCCTGGGATCATGACCCGAGCGGAAGGCAGACGCCTAACCGTCTGAGCCGCCCAGGCGCCCCTGGAAGTCAGACTCTTAATTTCCTTATAATTTTCTCCAGTTCTCCTTCAAGAGAATGTATATAGGTGTATACACACATATATTCTGTAGATAATCTATAGGGACAGAGCATTCTGGCTCTTTTGGTTTTGTACAGTTTGGACACTTGGATTTTAAAATGAAATAAATTCAGTGACTTATGTTATTTCTATTAAAAAAACAAAAAAGGAAAACACTAACAAACCACAGTAATTACAGAAGGAAAAGATTTAGTATGACTGAGAGAGATCATTAATTTTTTCCCATTAGTCATATCCTTTCAGGTAATTTATATGGTTGAATTAAGTCTCAGTGTAATTCTTGAAGGGGGCTTGAGCACTTACTAATGGCCAGGAATATTGGTAAACACATATAAAGATGAAAGGATGCAGGCCTTGCCGTCAGAAGGCTTTGTTACAGACTTTGTTCTCTAACTCAAAGGAACAACTGTAAAGAGCAGAAAATTTTAGACAAGAAAGGAAAAGGGGTTTACCTAATAATTCTTAGTGGAAGAATTATTTTTTTGACAGAAAGAGCCATGCAGTACCCTTCAAATAATTATTTCACTGACCAGACATTTACTGAATTTCTAGTAAGGGCTAAGCATTTTTTTTTTTTAAGATTTTATTTATTTATTTGAGAGAGAGAGAATGAGAGATAGAGAGCACGAGAGGGAAGAGGATCAGAGGGAGAAGCAGACTCCCTGCTGAGCAGGGAGCCCGATGCGGGACTCGATCCCGGGACTCCAGGATCATGACCTGAGCGGAAGGCAGTCGCTTAACCAACTGAGCCACCCGGGCGCCCAAGGGCTAAGCATTAATTAACATGAGGCACTGGGGATTCAGAGTTAAGATGCCTTTGCTCTCCATATGCTCACTGTTTATCAAGGGAGACAGGTTTAGAAATAACTAACACAGGGGCGCCTGGGTGGCTCAGTCAGTTGAAGGTCAGACTCTTGATTTTGGCTCAGGTCATGATCTCAGGGTTGTGAGATCGAGTCCTGCATCGGCATCAGGCTCTGAGCTGGGTGTGGAGGCTGCTTAGGATTCTCTCTCCCTTTCTCCCTCTTACCCACCCCCCCTTTAAAAAAATAAATAATAAAAATTGAAAAAAAAAAAAGAAAAGAAATAACTAATGCAGTGTGCTATTACAGAATTCTAGTCCAAGTCTTTCAGAATACAGGTGTGGGCTACATGAAGGATTTTTGAGTTTGATCCTGAAGTAAGCGTTCATTGGGTGAGGGAGATGGGAAGAATATTCCATGCAAAGGGAAAAGCATCAGCAAAAAGGGAGAGGCATAAGTAATAGTCCATGACTTGCTGGGGACATATTTGGGAAAGGATAATCTGATGCTATAGACATGGGTGCTTGGGATTAAGAGGTTGAGGTGGGGGTGGGGGAAAGCTTTGAAGGCTTGTGAGGAAGGCTAAGGTCTTCTGTGGTCTTCTGTCTACCTGTGGTCTCTGTTCTAAGGAAATGGCAATCGGCCAATAATTAGATAATAATTGCTAAGATCTCTCCCAGTTAGTTCTGAGCTGAAAGTGTACCTCTTAGACATTAGCAGTTTCTAACCCAAGTGGGGGCTCCATGGGCATTTATCTTGGAAAACACTTTCAGGTGTTTATTCACTTGTACATAACATTTTTTTTTTTTTTGCTACAAAGATGACATCAGGTAGAATGAATAGCCAATGTTATGACACATTTCTCTATATTGACCCTAAGATACATACTTACCTAAAAGAAGAATTGACACATTTTTTTCTATGAAGGCCCGGATAGTAAATATTTTAGGCTCTGTGGGCCAAGAAGCAAAATCAAGGATATTATGTGGCTGTTTATATAAGAAGAGAGAAAGCTGCCCCCAGGTTGCCTGGGTATGCGGTTATAGTTACTTTGATTGCAGATGCATCATCTGGAGCCATTCACCTAAGAGCAGCTGGCCTGAGACGGAGGGTCAGGCGTGTGGCCTGGCCTGTCAGGCCTACAGCCAACCGCGTGTTTCTCTCTGCCCCAGTGACACTCAGACCTGCGGGTGGAATTCTCTGCTCTCAGAGAACCTGGCTCTGTCATCTCGGTCCGCTGGTCTGAGGAGAGGTGATTTCCAGAGTCTCTGACTCCCAGATTGAGATTCCACTGGGTGGTGCCTGGCATTTGCTAGTAGTGGAGTCTAGAATGTGTAGGGGGTGGCGGCATTCGGGCCCTGAGCAGACCACTGGCCAGACAGGCAGGCATTGGGAGCTCTGGGGTGAGCAGGGGTAGAAGCTGATGCCCAGGTTGGTCTTTGAAGCTCACAGTGCTAGGCCACAGCAACACAAAAACACAGAGTGAGGAGGGGTGCTCCTGGTATCTGGTGGGTAGAGGCCAGAAGGGCTGCACACAGCACACAGTGCACTGGTCCCCCCTCACAACACAGACTCATCCCACCCAAAACACTGTTACTGTGAGGTTGAGGAACCCTGATCTAGAATAACTAAAAAAAAAAAAAATTTCTCTATAGTTCATGAGGTACTTAAGGAAAAAAATCTTTTTATCCTCAGAGGACTCGTTAGCTCTTAAATAGTCACGGTATCTTCTAGACCAGGAAGATTTTATTCACCTTTGTTTTATTTATCTTTATATTCCCATTTTGAATCAACACAGACATGGGGGCATTTATTAATAACATATAGCTAACATTTATTGAGTGTTTATAACATACTGCATACTGTACTAAGTAATTTACAGACATTGTCTTGTTTCTTGTAACAATCAGGTAGGCACCATTATTATGTCCACTTCAAGGAGGGTAGACTTGATAGTGATTGAAAAGTGAAGGCATTTTCTCAATGTCAAACAAATAGCGGAGTTGGAATTAATGTACAGTTGATGTATAATTTGTTACAAGGTGGAGATTATAAGCTTTCCTTCCAAGTTAGTTATTAATGAGCCTTTTTTTTTGGTAAGCCTGTCAATTGTCACTTAAGCTCTAACACTCCAGATCAGTCTATGGGTGACTTCTCTGTTGAAAGCTTTACTCCCAGGGGTGCCTGGGTGGCTCAGTCGGTTGAGCGTCTGCATTCGGCTCAGGTCATGATCTCAGGGTCCTGGGATCAAGTCCCGAGTCGTGCTCACTGCTCCAAGAGGAGCCTGCTTCTCCCTCTCCCACTACCCCTCCTCCTGCCTGTGCGCGAGTACTTTCTCTCTCCCGAATAAATAAATAAAATCTTAAAAAAAAAAAAAAGAAAGCTTTACTCCCAGAAGGAGAATGAAAATCAAGAATTGTTTCACTGTTTATAAATACTATCTGAAATAAAAATTGCTTTTTTTCTTTCCAGAATCACCAAAGTTTCTACAGATTTAAGTGCCAACTTCATAAAAGCACAAATACTTACCTTAACCTCGTTTTGGAAACTTCTGTGTGAGTCCTGACCTATCTCAGACCAGCAGGCCTGCTACACGGCCTCTGCCAAGCATGCATGTGTCAGTGTTGGGGGAGACTTCCAGCTTCAGATCATAAAGTTCTTTATTGCCAGAATTTTAAGCCATAATAAACTATGCTATTCCAAATGAACTTTGTTTTAAAATAAGTTGGTTTTTATTTTTTTAAAGATTTTATTGGGCGCCTGGGTGGCTCAGT